CCCGGGCTTCCTGGAATCAGCCGCTGATCAGTTTCAGCAGCGGCTGACGCCAGTTCCGACTTACATACAGTTTCAACTTAAGAACAAACCTCCAGTCCCTATCTTGTACGTAACCCGGGGACTGCCTGTACATGCAAATATATATGCAATTAGCTTCCTTCAGACTGACAGGCATGAATTCAAAGACCAAGGCAAGACTAAACAACACACAGGCCACATTTAAGTCAGTTCTGCTGATATTAACAAATGATATTAACAAAATGCAAGATTTACCCGCTTTCCACCCACTTGACAGCACTGTTAATGAGCAATGACAATCCAGGAATTAAACTACTAAAATGCATATCAACAGAAGACCATTATATTGGCTACTTCTTTGTTTTGGCTCCCACCGCGGGCCAAGTGTGGAGCCCCACGTAAATCCAAACTGCACCGTGGGCCACAAACATGCCGCGGGCTGCATGTGGCCCACGAGCCACGTGTTGAGTAGTCCTGCTCTAGGTACACACTTGGGGCAGCTAGTCACTGTTGTGGCTCCACAGCCAGACCCCTGTGCGCTAGTTTAGTCACAGCTAGTAGCAATGTCTCCTTCAGTGGGGAATCTCACCCCTAGACCTAAGTATAGGACATTCACTATTGAGAATCTCTGCTTTCATTTTTTTAAAGCTCTCATTGTTTAGAAAAGCATGAAGCACATTACAGGTTTTAAAAAATCAGAAAGAATATTAAAAAGAACCCCAAAGAACCCCAAATACTGTATTTTAAATAGCTATGATTTTTAAATCAATAGCATAATTCTGGGAGCTTCACTCAGTTTTCACACTCTTGAGGTTGAAAATAGGGATGTTAAATTTAGATTAACTGGCTAATTTTATTAGTCGATAAGGGCACCTTCACCTTTGAAGTGTAGCAACAGTCCCAAGGCTGTTGCTACCCTTCAAAGGTGAAAGTGCTGTGGGCAGCATGGGGCCAGCAGGGGACACAAGCTGGCCCCGGGCTCCCCATGGCGTTTGAAAGCGGCAGCACCACATGGAGCCCGGGGTCATCTGGGGACTCAGTGTCCCCAGCAGACCCTGGGCTCCATGTGGTGCTGCCAATTTGAAATGCCATGGGGAGCCCGGCATCAGGTTCCACATGGTGTTTCAAAGCAGCAGTGCCGTATGGAGCCCGGGGTCAGCAGAGGAGTCCCTAGCTGACCCTGGGCTCCATGCGGCACTGCCACCTTGAAGCACTCCCTCGTGTTTCCCAACTTGCGGGTTGCTCTTCAAATACTTCTCATAGACTCATAGACTTTAAGGTCAGAAGGGACCATTATGATCATCTAGTCTGACTCCCTGCACAGTGCAGGCCACAAAATCTCACCCACCCCTCCTAGAATAATCCTCTCACCTATATCTCAGATATTGAAGCCTTCAAATAGTTTGAAGACCCCAAGATGCAGAGAATCCTCTAGCTGTGATCTGTACCCCATGCTACAGAGGAAGGCGAAAAACCTCCAGGGCCTCTGCCAATCTACCCTGGAGGAAAATTCCTTCCCGACCCCAAATATGGCGATCAGCTAAACCCTGAGCATGTGGGCAAGACTCATCAGCCAGACACCCAGAAAGTTCTCTATAGTAACTCCTATCATCCCTCCATTGACCTATTTCCCACTGATAATGAATGGTCAATTAGTTACCAAGATCATGTTATCTCATCAAACCATCCCCTTCATAAACCCATCTAGTTTAATCTTGAAACCAGATAGATCTTTTGCCCCCACTACTTCCCTTGGAAGGCCGTTCCAGAACTTCACTCCTCTAATGGTTAGAAACCTTCGTCTAATCTCAAGTCTAAACTTCCTACTAGCCAGCTTATATCCATTTGTTCTTGTGTCCACATTGGTATTAAACTTAAATAATTCCTCTCCCTCCCTGGTATTTGTCCCTCTAATATATTTAAAGAGTGCAATCATGTCCCCCCTCAGCCTTCTTTTGGTTAAGGTAAACAAGCCAAGCTCCTTGAGTCTCCTTTCATAAGACAGGTTTTCCATTCCTCGGATCATCCTAGTGGCCCTTCTTTGTACCTGTTCCAGTTTGAATTCATCCTTCTTAAACATGGGAGACCAGAACTGCACACAGTATTCCAAATGGGGTCTTACCAATGCCTTGTATAATGGCACTAACACCTCCTTATCCCTACTGGAAATACCTCGCCTAATACATCCCAAGACCGTATTAGCCTTTTTCACAGCCATGTCAGAATGGCGGCTCATAGTCATCCTATAATCAACCAGGACTCCAAATTCCTTCTCCTCCTCCGTTACTTCCAACTGATGTGTCCCCAGCTTATAACTATAATTCTTGTTATTAATCCCTAAATGCATAACCTTACACTTCTCATTATTAAACTTCATCCTATTGCTATCACTCCAATTTACAAGGTCATCCAGATCTTCCTGTATGATATCCCGATCCTTTTCTGAATTGGCAATAGCTCCCAACTTTGTGTCATCTGCAAATTTTATCAGGACACTTCCACTTTTGGTGCCAAGGTCAGCAATAAAAAGATTAAATGAAATTGGCCCCAAAACTGATCCCTGAGGAACTCCACTAGTAACCTTCCTCCAACCTTCCTCCAACCTTCTTCCAACCTGACAGTTCACCTTTCAATATGACCCGCTGTAGTCTTCCCTTTAACCAGTTGCTTATCCACCTCTCAACTTTCCTATTAATCCCTATCTTTTCCAATTTAACCAGTAATTCCCCATGTGGTACTGTATCAAATGCCTTACTAAAGTCGAGGTAAAGTCGACTAGTCATTCACATCCCTAGTTGAAAATACTGGTATTGTGTGAAAAGGCATAAGATCATATCTTGGCAACACTGATGTTATTTATTATTACTGGTCCTGTTTCCCACAACGTAATTGCTGCTTGCTAAGCATAAAAATGGCACAGGCCCTACCCTGTCAAGCTTAAACTCTGAAAAATCAGAATTCCCATTCACACAAGTAGCTGGCATCATTCCTTTCAATAGAAGTTTCTGGTTTTCAGAGATTTTTCTCTTTCAGATTTATCTTGTGACACAAACTTGTCAAAAGCAAACAAGGAATTAAAAATATAAACAAGTAATTTAAAATGCTACTAGGCATCATCATTATCCTCAAACGATTATTTAAAAAACAAATAAGGAAATAAATTAGAACCTCATAAAAACAATACATTAAAATGCTATTGGGGGTAAACTTCCAGTGTAATAAACTAGTATTTAGTAGCACAGCTCTCTCCTGTTTACACTAATAGGAGCTATAGGGCTATGTATTCTGTGTTTAAAGCATGCTCTAAAGAAGTCCCTCTCAACCAGTGACTCTCAACATTCCTAGGGCCACAAAGGTAGTATATTTTACAATGTGGATAAGGCCCACAACACACACACAATTGCATATGCACCCCACAATGGTAAACAGATTGAGAACCACTGCCCTAAAGTAAAAAACAGAGAAAACTACCTTACAGACTTTACAATTCTGGCTGGATGCCACCCGAGGGCATGCTGATGTGAAGAAATGATTGCACAAAACTGTAGGGACAAATTTATCCCTGGTGTAACTGCTTCAGTTATACCAAATACAGATATGTCCCACAGGGCTCAGCTAAAGATGTTATGCATTTCCTTGTTTTTATCTGTGTCTCTCATGTGTTAACTACTATAATTTATCTCCCAATGTAAGTCACTACAATGTACTAAGTCAGGCACTCAGTGCCTGAAATACTTAGGTAAACCCAACGCTTGAGTATATGGAAAAGCACTGTAGTGCATACAACGACTGCATAATAGGGCTGGCAGATATTCCACGTGCATTACAGGGCAGGAGATCGCAGAGGATAGTAAAACCTGAAGGGTTTGAGACCAAACACAGCCAGCAAAGCAAATGAGGGACGAAAGCAGGATTAGGATATTCCTATGAGAATGCAAAGCTAAAATACTTACATCATGGAGAGGGTAAGCAGCTGTGTAGGTGCCATTACTTAACAACCTTTTAATCCCAAATTTTTTCTTCCCTTCTTCTGTTCCATAGGGGCATCGTGTTAAAATATAGTATACCTAAAATGCAAACAAAGAAAGTTTAATCCTCTTCTTTTGTAATATGGTTAATACCTCACCCCATGGATGGGTGGAAGGAGCACTGCTGATGCCACTGTCCAAGCTCCCTCAAAAGTAATGCACTGCAGAAACTGTAATATAGAAGAAATCAGAGGATCCTCAAGGCTCCATCTGCAGGAGGATGCCTCAGCCTAGATGAGAAAGAAAAGGAACTGTTTTGTCAAAAGCCATCAGTACCTAGAAAGATACACAGACATCAGATTTCATTACACGGCCTCCAGAAATCCCATATCATGTAGCAGCAATGTAATTGACCGTTTGTAAATTCAGAACTCAAATAGCTGCCTCTGATAGGTGATCACAGACATCCCCGCCCAGCCACCTTCCCACCCATAAGCCTCTGTTACATTCTGCAATGGATAGGGTAAGATACGTACTATTCTGTTTCTTATGGAGGGTGAGAAGAAGGTATTCTCATCATGAATGAGGTAGAGCTCCTGCCTACTTTTGCTGAACGGTGCTGTGAAGTAGTCTGGTTCAGGGTGCATCACCTTCTCGGGTAGCCTAAATGGTCCAAGCATACAGTCCAATGGGTTCTCTACACTAGAGGGAATATCATTTTCTCTGATGGGCACTTTGATGTTCAGCACTTCAGCATACGTGATCAGAATCTCCCATGGGGCATGAATCTTCACAAAATACGTTTTGCCATCTTCAGATTCCTGCACAAGAAAAGTTAAACCTGAGGTCAGACTGAGGGCTGAGAGGTTTTTTGGATTAAAATCAAGCTAGATGGCTCCCAACGCTTTTCTCTCTCTATTCTTTTATTGTCTTAAGACTTATACTAATTCTTGAAAATCAGGAGGAAATACTTCCCTCCAACAAAAAGTGTGTATGATTGATGGGAATTAGGACATCTGTATTCTTGCACTAATTAGAGACTTAAGGAAATTTCAAACTGCATCATGCTTGTGCATTTCAGATCAGATCCTCAAGCCTACTTAATAGCCACAGAAGGCACTGAATGCACTGGAAATGGTGTGATTCTCCTGGGCAGGACATGCAGGGTATAGAAAACCCACACAGCAGTTAAAACTCCCTTCATGCAATGGTGCTGTGCCATCTGTAAAGCAGACAGCAATTTTAGATTGGTTTGCTGAAATTGTGCACAGACCATGGAATTCAAGAGTATCCAGATTTCCCTGTAAAACACCTTGTAAATCAGCAGTCATGGAAGCACACAACCCTGTTATACTTGCTGCAGTTGCTGAGAAATGACTTTGCCAATACATATCCCTAAGAATTTCTCTGCACATAGTATAGGTAAAGGTCTAACTCTAAAACAATAATATTTAAACTATGGCTTACTGGAGCTCAATTATGATCTCATGAAGTCCTTTGATTTTGTCAAATGTTATTTTGCTCCAAGGAAGCACTCCTTCCTCAATCCCAATCAAATGAGGCAGAAAAGTAACACTAAATAAATGGACTACAACTACCACACCAAACTTTTCCCCACCAAAATCCTACATCTGCACAAGGTATCAATAATTTCCATTGATTTTTAACAGGTGTTACTGGTATGCTCTGTGGAGGTGCTAACGTGAAGGAAGAATCTGGCCCAAGTAGATGTTCCTTTTTGCGCTGGTTGCTCTGTGTAATTAAACTGCCCGTTCAGCTATTTTGGGACCATTTCCTTTTCATTACTGAGTAAAACACAAGCACTTCCTCCTGAAACGTAACAGTTCTTTTCTCACAATGCTTAACTACTTATGAAGCGAAACTGCTCCTGTGTTAGTATGGTTAGCCTGTTTAACTTCATCTACTCACATGGTTTGAAGTACTGAAACCCCTAAGAACCACTGATACAATGGTGGATAAAATCTTATAAGAACAGACCTACAAATTAATGACATAGCAATCTGAAAATTCACTTCTTTGCTCCTAGTTTGCACTGCATGAAGAGGATACTGGGGGTTTTTTGGTTTTGTTTTTGTTTTTTACCTTTTTGTCTTCTGTTTCTAGTTCCAGACCAGACTTTTGTAGATTTTTCTCAAATTCTCGCCTTCTTTCCTGAGGATAAATAAAGAGACTTTACTTTTTTTTTTTTTTTTTTTTTTTTTTAAGTTGAGGCAGTTTTACTTCATCCATCAAGAAATTTATCCTCCCTGTATATAGGGTCTGATCTGGCACCCATCAAAATCAATAAGGCTACATCTACACTGCATAGTTATTTCGGAATAAGCTATTTCAGAACAGCTTATTCCGAAATAGCATGTCTACACTGCAGGAAAGCCTCAAAATTAGCCTGAGGCAGGCTTCCCTAAAGTAGACATGCAGGAGAAATAACTTAGAATGGCCCTGGTGACAGGCTATTTCAAAATAGCAGAAGTGGAGCATCTACACATGCCTCATTTTGAAATAGCTATTGTGGAATAGACGTTATTCTTCATAGAATGAGATTTACAGAAGTTGGAATAAGCCATCTGTTATTATGAAATTATTTTGAAATAACGAAAATGCTGTTTAGAGACTCACACTTTTATTTCAGAATAATGGCTGTTATTCTGAAATAAGTTTGCTGTGTAGACACACCCTAAAAGTTTTGTCGTTGCTTAAGCAGAAGCCAGTCTGGATGCCAAAAAGTAACCAAAATTCTACTTACTGCCTTTTAATCACCAATCTCTCTCAAAGTTGCTGTCACAAAGTAGCTGGTCTCTGTGTATTGATTAACGCCCAACTCCCCAGACCAGCGTAAGTGAGCCCAATCTAGCCAATTAAAGACAGATGGGCCTGCAAATGCACTGTTAGTGCACAACTAGGAGAGATGGATTGTGACAGCCAAACTGGATTGGTGGGTCCCTGGAGCAAAGCGGTCAGGGAAGCAGCCTTAGGGCTGTTACTCTAAGTCTGTGGCATCCAACGTGCCAGCCACTAGCCATGTGTGACTATTTCGCTGGTTGTTGGCTTGAACAATGTGGCTATTTGGCCGGTTGAGTGTGGCTAGCTTGCTATAGCAGTAGCTACTATAGTGGCTACTGTTTCAGAACTAGGTGGACACCACAGCTCTAAGGCCTTGTCTACACTAAGCTGTTAACCTAAGCTATGCAACTTCAGCAACATGAATAATGTAGTTGAAGTCCACATCGTTAGGTCTGTTTACTGCAGTATCTTCTTCACTGTGGTAAGTCAGCAGCTGATGCTTTCCCATCAAATCTGCTTACTCTTCTCATTTTGGTGGAGTACTGGAGTCGAGGGAAGAGTGCTCAGCAGTCGATTTATCGTGTCTATACTAGATGTGATAAATCAATCCCTCTGGATCAATCGCTGCCCATCAATTCAGTGAGTAATGAAGACATGCCCTAACAGCTGACTGAGACTTGTAAACTGCTATGAGCAGGAGAACCAGAGAGGGGTGGCCCTGAGGCTAAGGGATGAGTTAAGACAGTTTTTCGATTTATTTGTAAATCCTTGTTAAGCAAATAATTTTTTTTAAAAAAACTGATCATGGCTGAGAAGAAGCATGGCGCTGGTGACAGTTACCATAGTACTATTATGCTGGATTTATAATTTAAGCTACTTAGTTTTTCATACTGGATTTATCCTTTAAATGAAATAAGAAATACCAATCTTGTTTCCTTTAGAAGGCACTGGCAAATCTCATTGATTTCTAGATCAGGCCTACAATTAGATGCATTTTTTTATTGATCAGGTATTTCTACAAAAATGTAATTTTTAACCACATTTCCTGTATGTATGTATAGCTGTTTCTATATGAAGGAAATTTATAAAAACCAAGAATGCCACAGCACACAAGGAAATGCAGGATATTCCTATTGAATCTGACCATGTGTCAAATGGTGATTCTATGTCTTATAGTACTATCAACTATATATTTTAGAGAGTTTGTTTGTCTCTTTGACCAAGAAGTCCTCCTAAATGGTGAAAGCTAGGACCACCACATTCAGTATATAGCTTCCTTTGAACATAACTTAAAGCAATGTGAGGGGTTGGTTGTGCCAGGAAAATAGGATGTGCCTAAATGGGATTGCTTCTCATAAAACCAAACAGAAGAGAGACAGAATCACCAAAGCAAATACAGTCCTCAAAATTGACATGACTGAACCAAGAGGAGTCAGAAAAACAGGATGGACCTGGAATAGAATTGCTTGTCAATAACCCTTACAGAAAGGAGATAAAATCGAGAAATTGGGAGTAGTACTCTGTTTTGGCACAGCTAAATTAATGCTTAGGGTTTGAAAACTTGAAGACAATGTTATTGGAAACCAAACTGACTATCGCTCTTTTTTGTTAAAACATACCAAATGATAAAAGTTTATAGGAATGAAGGGGGAAAAAACACACACTTGATGGAATTCCCATTTAAAAAATTACAGAAAAAAATAAACATTTTAGTAATCCCTTTTTAAGAAATCCAAAATAAAAATTAGCTTCATAAAAATAACACTGTATTTTTGAAAAATATTTATTTAAATAAAGCATGTACATTTTCCTCTTATTTTCCAAAATATAATAAAACCTTAATTGAGTTACTGACCCAAGCAGCGCTGGGCAAATCTGCTAGTATGCATGTTCATTTATCACAGTAGCCTTACATGCTTCTCTGAAACATCTAGAACTGTGCCAGATGGAGCCAATCCAGTATGGCAAGTCCGATGTCCTGATTTTCTATTGAGACAAATTGTATCCTCCCTGTTTAATTTCAATGTTTTGGTTAATTACATTTCTTATGTATTCACCTGGAATAATTTTGACCTTTAGATTTTCTTTCTCTCTAACACAAGCATGAATACACACACACACACACATCTGTAGTTCACGGAGTTCATCAGATCTACACAACTGAAAAGGTGATATTGCATGACTGCTATTACTTTCACATGGCTTATCTAAAAATGATGCCATGTTATGGGGCAGGTACTCAGCTAAATAGAACACATGGGAGGATCCCTGACTCTCAGTCCTACATGTCATTTAAAGCAGGCTGGAGTCTGCTTTAATTTTGCATCAGCCAACAACCACCCCTCACTCTCCTCAGCCCCTGCATTATAGATCTGTGGGGAAGAGGGGAATTAGGTGCCAGCTCTGCTGTTTCTATGCCCAATGGAGACTCAAACATATTATCAGAATCATCAATGGGAGGGTTACAAGACAGTGTCTTCTTCTTTTGTGGTGCTCGAGGTGCCAGTATACAGAAGACTGGCGAGTCCAGACCTATATTACATGTGTATTTATTTTATATAAAATATCCCATGAGATTAACTATAGAATCACAGGAAAAATGCAATTATTATCTCCATTGATCACCTACCACTCTTCTACCCACTATTTCACTTTCTCTGAAACTTATTTTAGCATTTTGTACTCCTCCAAGGTTTCAAATAAACCTCTTAACTTCTTTTTTCAAGTCAATTTGCCAGGGAAAATTTTCTTCCTCTTGCCAAGTTTGGAATTTCCCCAAAATGTCTCCTGTCCTAGGCTTCAGAAAAGTAACATTTGTTCTAGATGTAAATACGTCACAATTTAAAAATTCATTATCTCATAATCCTTCAGGTCTATAAATGGGGACTTATATTATTGACTCTACTACAGATATTTGTGTCATTCCAGAACTATATAGGAATAGTAAAACTGGTTTATACAGTTACACCACCCCAGGATTGACGGACATAGTTAAAAAGGAACTTAGAATGCTCTTAACTATTTTAAAATGTCTTCTGGAATCTATGTAGTATATACAGGATACGTGATAATGTGGAAGTGGAATAAACTAAGCACTCCCGGGATGGATTACAAAACTCACTACCAGCTTTGCCTCTTATGATCAATGTGCCCATCCCACACGCACGTTAATATGACTTTCATTTCAAACTACACTGTATATTTACTATAAATACCAAAGTAATCTAGTATGAATTTACTACCTAAAGTAGACTTAGATCTGAAAACATATTTGACAAGATTAACAATGTTAGACCCAAAGTCCAATAGGAACTAAGGGTATGTCTACACTACAGCGCTAATTCGAACTAACTTAGTTCGAATTAGTTAATTCGAACTAAGCTAATTCGAACTAACGCGTCTAGAACTAAAAACTAGTTCGAATTAGCGTTTTGCTAATTCGAACTAGCAAGTCCACATTGAGTGGACTCTGAACAGGGCTTAAGGATGGCCGGAAGCAGTGCCGGCAGGGCATAAAAGGAGGACTTAGAGCATGGAGATGCTGTCTCAGGCTAGCCGAGGGCTGCGCTTAAAGGGTCCCGACCCCCACCCCGGACACACAGTTCTAAGGGGTGCCCCGCTTGCAAAGAAGTTCTGGCTTGGAGTGCCCTGAGTGCCCACACTGGGCACATCACACCACTCGGCCATCAGCCCGGCTGCACTTGCCGCAGGCTGCCATCTGGGGAGAGGGAGTAATTGGGGGGCTGCAGGAGAGCTTCCACCCCCAGAAGCCCGCAGAGCCAGCCCAGTCCTCCCCATCGGGGGCTCATACCCCATTCCTCCCTCACCTCCTTCCACTTACCCTTCCCTAGCCCCCCTTCTTATTGATGTACAAAATAAAGATAACGTTTCTTCCAACATTGACTCTGTCTTTATTGAAAAAAACTGGGGGAGACTGGGAAAAGGAGGTGGGAGAGGGGAAGAGAAAGGCTGGGAGAGGGGAGGGCAACTAACATGATCAGGGGTTGGGAACAGGTCCCAGATGAAGAGAGGCTACAGAGACTGGGACTGTTCAGCTTAGAAAAGAGGAGACGGAGGGGGGACAGGATAGAGGTCTCTAAAAGCAGGGGTTGGGTGGAGAGGGTGCATTCAGAAAAGTTCTTCATGAGTTCCCATAAAGAAGGACTAGAGGACACCAAAGGAAAGGAATGGGTAGCAGGCTTGAAACTAGTAAGAGAAAGTTGTTCTTCTTGACAAAGCAAATAGTTAACCTGTGGAACTCCTTGCTGCAGGAGGCTGTGAAGGCTACAACTAGAACAGAGTTTAAAGGGAAGTGAGATCAAGTCATGGAGGTTGGGTCCATGGAGTCCTATTAGCCAGAGGGTAGGAGT